ACAGAACCATTTTCAGACATGATCGACTTAAAATCCTAAAATGATAAAGAAGATCAGATATGGAACTAAAAAAAAAACAATTTACCCTTATTTATACATATATAACTATTTAAGACATTCATCATTTTTATTTATATACTATTTGCATAATTAGATATATTTTGACAATCAATTTTAGTTTTCAACGGAGTGTTTTGTAACACAAAAGTTTCAAATAACAAATAAAAACACATGTATATTGTTCATTTATAATAAAATACGCCCTCCGTACCGTATATAATGTTACATTTTTTATTTTCGTTTGTCTTATATATTATGTCATTTTTTAAAAAAATATTATACTCATTCTGTCCCAAAATTATAATCTTAATTGAGTTGGGCACGGTATTTAAGGAATATTGATATTATATTGGCAGTTGGTAAAAAGTATGAATAAAAGACTTTTTTGCCCTTGTGAATGTATTAGTGTAAAAAGTAGTGACAATTATGTAATAAAAATGAAAAAGTAAGGATAGTTTTACGGTGATAATGTTATTTATAAAAATAAGACTATTGTTTTGGGATAGACAAAAATGGTAAATAAAACTATTGTATTGAAACGGAGGAAGTACATTTTAATTATATTTTAAATTTTATAATTTATATTTTTTTAAAAAAATTATTAGACTAATTAGTTAGTTTAACCTTAATCTATAATTATTTGTATTATATTATAATTGATTTTATTAATACATTCTTAATTATTTACTAATCATATTCCTTATAAATTTTTATGTTTACAGTAACACTGATACAATACCTAAAACGAAACGAGCACAGCAGAATTTTATATAATTTACCATATAGTATATACATATAACAATAAATATTTACAAAATTACATAAAACATCAATATCTATAATATTTTCATAATTTTTTTTTTATTTATAATGTCTACAGTAACACTGATACAATTTTTTTTTAAATACTTTATTAGAAAAAATATGTACTCCTCGAACACGGTCTTGTTGATATAGTTTTACCAATACTAATTATTTTTCGTTAAATTCTCATAATATCCGTGTTTGATCGACTCATTTCTTTATTATCTTCTGAGACTTTTCTAAGTAAAGTCGGACTATTTCTACAAATCTTGCAAATACTTGGCAAAGTGGAAAGACGGGACTATGTCCTTTGTATGTTCCTATCCAGCCTTTCACTGTTGTTAGTTGAAAGTCGAGAATGATGTCCGATGAACTTCTCATACTCTTGTTCTTATGTAAGTTGAAACAATATTATGCAATATTAAGTAAGGCAACTTAATCGAGTTGGTTTACTATCAACGTCAACTAAGCAATCACTACAAAAATATAGTATATTTGTAACGGAATTCTGTTCCTAAAGTTCACGTAGCTAAAGTAATTTCATCTCTAATTCCGTCTCTAATATCATTAGTAACAAAAAAAGTGGATTTAAGAACAAAAAAATTTTATTACAAAATTGATTTTTTTTTTGTAGTGAATGATTGGAGTAGTCCTGCGGCCAGTTGATTATTTGCATTACTTTATTGGCGAACAAAACACATCTTAACATGCTTTACATTTTTTTTTAATGTTTGGTCAATAGTAGAGTTCTTAAAAAAAAGGCTAAGATATGTTGCACCACTGCCTGCCATACATACATGGTATCGTGATATTCTCGTAAAACATTTTGTCTTAGACCTTCTCATTTGGCATATACCTTGGTCACAACCAAGCAAATCTTCTCATACTCAACTAGGTTGAGCATTGTGTATGAACTCATTGTGTACTAATTCCCTTGCATATTCGATCCACAATGTTCCCGTCCATCGAATACATTGCCGCTAACTTAGAGTGTCCTCCATGATCTGTCGCGCGGTCAATCAAATATTTTATCTATTCCGTGATCACAATTTAATGTAATACATGGAAAGAGATCGTCTCTACAGAGATTGTGTGATTCACCATTTCGTGTTCTAATGCAGTAAATAAAAATGGAGAATTTTCTTTTATTAACTAATGAAGATAAAATAACAAAACAATCAAATTAAAGGAGAACTAGCTATCAAGGGGATGTCTGGTTCAAGGGATGATGCAGTTATGACACTTGTGTTTTATCATTGATTCAATAAAGTTAATTCTTATTAAAGTATCAATAAATTGGTTATAGTTATCAACAAGCTCTGACAACCAATTTTTCCTTACAGTGTAGGTAATTAAAGTACGACCGTTAACTACCTCTAATTAAGCAAATAAACTTAGGTGCACTCATAAAAAATATTGCCTAATCGTATTCTAATTTAGAAAAACTCAATTCAAAACAATTACTACCTAAGAGAAGCAATTAGATTTGATTGTCTAACCCCCGAGAAGGAACTATTAAACCCGGTTGTCACCTATTCAAGTGCGAACTATTCAACCCGGTTGTCATCTATTCAAGTGCGAATACAATTACGGATATCCTACCTGAATTGATTTTAGATTATCGGACTAATTCAAATATCGGTACCAAAATATTCAATCAATCTAACAATCACAAACGTTATTCTCAGAATTAGACAAATATTGATAATAAAAAAGAACTTTTATAAAGAAAATTAAGAATCTTCAAAACAAAAGAACCAAAATATTATCACCCCTCAAACCAGAAAAGTATATGCTTCATAATCAAATAACAAAGAACAAAAGAGAAAGATAAAGTCATGGTGGGAGGGGAAAATCTTCTCTGTCGATTTGCTTCTGCGCGATCTATGAGTATGTCAGTCTTCTGCTCTTGTGCGTATCTGCTATGGCCGTTCTCTCCTCTCTTATGCGTGTCTCCACCTCTTTTTATTTAATTTTTGCCCTAATTATTTTGTAGCTGAGCTTTTGGGTTTTTAATTAAATTATCATGTCAAGAGGGTGTAGTTAGTCATGGAGTCATGACTATGACTAACTAGGTTGTGCAAATCTGAATTTTTATTTACTTTTTCTACCAATTACGCCAAATTTAATATTTGCCATGTGCATACATCAAATAAACAATACACATATAAATTAGGTAGAATCCAATCAAAGTTAATCAAATATCGCATATAATATGAACATTTAACGTTGCGATTTCTAACTATCACTCCACAACATTCGTCTTCTCCGGTCGATACTCGATCTCAAATTTGAACTTTTTCAGAAAGTTAAGCCACCGTACTTGTTTTTACCTATCAGTTTCTTATATCATTGAAAATAACTTATAACTTGATTGTTTGTGATGATCATGAAAGACAATCTCACATTTAAATAATGTTCTCTCGTAAGCATAAGCAATGCAGTACTGCATATATCTCCTAAGGATGCTTGGCAATCCCTTTTCAATGTCTGTGCGACTCTCGTACGCCACTGGGTGTCTCCTGCATGAGTGTACACCTCTTCTACCCATATCTTCAAATGGTTTTGAGAAATTGGGAAGTGAATACTAGCTTCTCTATCACTAACTTCTTCAACAAGTCGAATGTCATTTGACATTCTTTGTCTGCTTTCACTTATTCTTTTTTTGCAGCATATCTTCAACGAAATCACCATCTCCACGGTATCATCTAAATGAACAATGATAAAGTAAATTGGAAGGATATTTGTAAAATCAAATGATATAACTTTAAAATTATGTAACGCATACCTCATATTTAGTTCATTACTTTCTCGTACTTGTAATTGTTGGCAATAAATTTTGTCATTACTATTTTGATTGATGTTTTCAGGTGATAAGACAATACACTTGCATACTTGCTCATGAATCCAAACTCAAAAAAATAGGCCAAATAAAAATTGATCCAATTCGATTTTTGGTGGAGCTCTAGTTCAGAGGAAGAACCCAAAAATTGGTCCCGTCCCGCCAAAGTGGATGAAATTAATTGCAATCCATTGTAAAAAACTTGTGAGTAGAGACAGTGAGATGTGAAATTCCATTTTGAGAATAGTCTTGTTAGATAGAATATTTTGTGGAGTATGTTGAGTAGATTTTACAAATAAAATAAAATGTGAGTTGTTAGCTTGATCGATTTTGAATGAGTTGATATGAGTTTGGGTTGGAACCTCCAAATGTAGGTCACGTGTGACCGAACTAGTTATTAATTTTGTGTGTTTCGTTTTTTTGTTTACAAAACCTGTATGTTATTTGATCATCTCATAAATTGTCTGTGTAAATCTACTTGTATCTACGTTTGTGTTGTTTAATTATTATTGTTGTTATTTGTTTGTTGCGACGGATTTAATCGAATTTGGGACTAACAGTAATAAACAATTGTCTTTTTTTTTTTTTTTACTAAATTCCACTGATTAAATCAATTAATTGAATTAAGTAATAATTAATTATCATAAACATCACGGAAGACTTCATTCTGATTTTTTTATTATTTTATTAAATTATAATATACTCTATCGGTCTCAACTTTAAAGAAAGACTTCATTCTGATTTTCTTATTCTTTTATTAAATTATAATATATTCTCCCTGTCTCAACTTTAAAGATTTTTTTTGAAATTTTAAAAATTAAAAGGTATTTTGGTATTAGTGTATGATTATTATTATTTTTTATAATGTGAAAATTTGCAATCCTTACGAGTGGAACATGACCTCAAATATAGTATCCTTCAAACTAGACCTGAAAATACAAATTACATTAGACGAACTGTGGCAAGTGAATATCAAAATTATTTTTTTCTAAAATAAAAAATTAAATATTTTTAAGTAAAAAAAACAAAAATAATAAGAAAAATATACTGTATATATTCGCCTATTGAAAATAACAAAAATGATATATTTCTTTTGCTCAAAATTTCAAATTTTAAAAACTATGTGTTTCTAAAAAAATATATATATTTTTTTTTCACAAAATAAAAAAATAGTATATTATTTTAATATCAACTCAATATCAATCGCATCTAAACAAACTTACCCTAAAATATTAGATGCAGTAAAAACCTCCGCAGTTTCTTTAATTTAACACAGATGGGTCAAAATGTCAAAACGATTAAAACAAAAATCTTCTTTCCCGAGACGCCGGGTTCACTCTGGGGCATTTCTTCCATCCATCGCCGCCGTCTCCCTCCACCTCCACCGCTTCTCGATTTCCATAAACTCATTCTTCAATCTCCTCCCTTCTATCTTCCTCCCGAATTTCTAATGGATCGCGATTTTTCTCCTGCCGCTGCTGGTCCCTCCCTCGACGCTATTTCGGACAGCTTGAAGAATCAATCTTTGGAGGATGACAATCGTAATGAGGACAGTAACAGTCAAAATAGGGTCAATTTGAAGCTGGAAGAACTGAAATGGGATCACTCCTTTGTTCGAGAGCTTCCCGGCGATCCAATTACCGATTTAACTCCACGAGAGGTTTGTCTATTCATTTTTTTTTTTTTTTTAATTTTATTTTCACTGCTTTGCTGACTTCCGAATTGTAGTTTTTGAAGCTTCGAGTTTGGATTAGTTTGGCTCTCAAACATTTAGCATGTTTAGTGTTTTATAAATCAATTCGATCGCCGATGCATCATCCTAGCACGATTAGGTTTTATTTGCTTCGATTTTTCTTGCTCGTATATGAATTTCCTGAATATTTTGCAATTCTATTTCAATACATTTCCAGTATTAATAATACCTTTGGAGGATAATGCTTTTTTTGGTTTTTGCTGATGGAATGCTTTTATGCTGTTAATAATTGGGCATTGGTTTAACTGAAATTCATAGAAAAGCTTCTCAAGTTTCCTCAATATATTCAGTTGGATGCGATCATATGTTGTCTTGCTACTTTGTGCAGGTATTACACGCCTGCTATACAACAGTTTTTCCGTCTGCAGAGGTTGATAACCCTCAACTTGTGGCTTGGTCGGAGTCAGTTGCAGAGTTACTTGATTTAGATCCTCGAGAGTAATTCAATTGTCTAACTTGTTTGTTTTATATCAAGTGAAGTTCTTCCTATAATTCTGTTGATATCTTCATGTATAATGTGTTTTAATTCTCAGATTCGAAAGGCCTGACCTTGCACAAATATTCTCTGGAGCTTCTCCTCTTGTTGGAATGTAAGTGTCACTTTATACCTCTTTTCTATATTTTTGTCTTTTGTTATTTCGGTTTATTGGTGGCTATACGAGCCGCATATTTTGCCTTGAATTTTACAGAATGCCTTATGCTCAATGCTATGGAGGACATCAGTTTGGAATGTGGGCTGGGCAATTGGGTGATGGTCGAGCTATTACGCTTGGAGAGATTCTCAATTCCAAGTCTGAGAGATGGGAGTTGCAGCTTAAGGGTGCTGGGAGGACTCCATACAGCCGATTTGCTGATGGTCTTGCAGTATTGCGCAGTAGCATCCGGGAATTCCTCTGCAGTGAGGCAATGCACAATCTTGGAATCCCAACAACTCGAGCATTGTGTCTGGTGACAACTGGAAAATATGTTACCCGAGACATGTTTTATGAGTAAGTCTTTGGAGCTTTGTTTTGATATGTTCTTACCTCGTAACCAAGGGTTATGAAAAATATTACACTACTTTCCTATATATATATATATATTTCTCTGCTGATTTTATGCAATATTTGTAGATAGAGACAGCACTGAAAACCAAATTTTAACAGCTTTAATCTTGTTATGAACTTTCTATGCATCTTGTAAAATGAATACTCTGTAATGATTATGTTTTCATATATCTTTATGTCTTTGCTTCCTTGTTTTCATGTATGGGCTCTTTTACGTGCAGTGGGAATCCAAAGGATGAGCCCGGTGCAATTGTTTGCAGAGTAGCTCAATCCTTTCTTCGATTTGGTTCATACCAAATACATGCGACTAGAGATGATTTTGATCTTGTTCACAAACTGGCCGACTATTGCATCAGACATCACTTTCCCCATTTAGAGAACCTGAGCAAAAGTGACACTCTGTCATTTACCACTGGTGAAGGAGATGATTCAGTTGTGGATTTAACTTCAAACAAGTATGCCGGTGAGTAATCATTTTGTAGATAAGAACATCCCCCTTACTATAATTTATTCCCGAGCATATATCTTGTTCTAATTATTTTAAATGATAATCTTTATCGTATCAATTGCCTCTGTACTTTGTAACGCTCGTTCAATTGCTATGCATTTGACACTGCAATCATTCGACTCCCAAGGCTACAAGTGTTTTTTTACTCTTAGACTCTAGTCCTGCTAGAAGCTTATTGATAGGGCACACCCATTGTTTTATACCTGACTTTAAATTCATATCTTTTGTTGTCTCTTAGGAACTTCTGAAAAATCTACTATAAAGCTGGAAGATAGTTTTCTGCTTATGTGTAATTATTAACTTTTATTTAATCAGAACTTTAGTGGCCGATTACTTACCTTATCGTCTCAAATGAACTACCATATATGATCAAGCTACTACTTCGCCTATAACATCTATAAGAATTAACCAATTGGGACATGCATGAATGGTATCTTTAATTCAACTAAAAGATTCAAGTACATTTTTTATTGGAAGTTCTTCATTCCAAGAAATGTTCTATATTTGTTTCGTTTATGTTGAAACTACCGGCTCCGGATGAATTCTTCTGATTTATGTTTATTACTTTTTTCCTTTTTGGAAAGATAACTTCATTCAACAAGCTCATTTATTTTTGTTTGCAATGCCAACTGACAGCTTGGGCGGTCGAAGTTGCCGAGCTTACAGCCTCCTTAGTTGCCAAGTGGCAAGCAATTGGATTCACCCACGGAGTGTTGAATACGGATAACATGAGCGTACTGGGACTTACCATCGATTATGGTCCTTTTGGCTTCTTAGATGCTTTTGATCCGAGTTATACCCCAAATATCACCGATCTTCCTGGTAGACGGTACTGCTTTGCAAACCAACCCGACATTGGCTCATGGAACATCGCTCAGTTTGCCACGACTCTCTCCTCTGCCCAGTTGATTAACAAGAAGGAAACCGATTATATTATAGAGAGGTATTCTTCATTACATTTCTTATCATGAGTTTTAACAGCTCTATGCCCGTGACACCTGCTGTTGATGTATTATCTATCAGGTATGGAACGAAGTTTATGGATGAGTATCAAGCTTTAGTGACCAAGAAACTCGGTCTCCCCAAGTACAACAAGCAACTCATCAGTGATCTCCTGAAAAATATGGCGGTCGATAAAGTTGACTATACAAACTTCTTTCGTTTGCTTTCAAATGTTAAATCTGATCCTGCCATTCCAGAAGAGTCGCTTTTGGTTCCTCTGAAGGCCGTTCTGTTGGACATTGGCAAAGAACGTCGCGATGCTTGGACCTCCTGGGTGAAATCTTACATACAAGAGGCTAGTTATCTCTCTCTCTCTCTATATATATATGTATGTGTGTATATATGTATGTTAAATTGTTAATGTCCATAGCTTCTGTTGCAGCTTGCTGAGAGTGACTTATCCGACGAGGAGAGGAAAACATCGATGAACTCAGTGAATCCCAAGTACATACTTAGAAACTATCTATGTCAAAGCGCCATCGACGCAGCAGAACTCGGAGACTTTGAAGAAGTTCGTCGCCTGCTAAAAGTCATGGAACGGCCATACGACGATCAGCCTGGAATGGAAAAATATGCTCGCTTACCGCCGGCTTGGGCTTATCGTCCCGGAGTCAGCATGCTCTCCTGCTCCTCTTAACTCTTATGCATCCCTCTCTCTAATCACTGAAGAGACGAGCACACAATGTAGATACAAATAGCAGCAGCATTCATTGTGTTTTTGCTCTGTAATGTTTTAAAAGCTGTAGCCTTTACCACCTTCACATATTTGTTCGTTCTGTTATATGCACATTTGGCTATGAGAGAAATCTATTTATATGTTTCAGAAATTCATTGTACACAATCTTGCAGAGTTTATGATTCAGTATGAATTTATGTATAATAGGAGGGAAGAAAGTGGATCGTTGGAATGTACGGCAGGATGAGGAGATTGTTGTTTTCACCAGGTAAAGTTTTCATTGACAGTTGCAGTTTGTTATTGCAGAGATGCATGAAGACGAAGGCACTGAATCCGTGCAAGCAAGTCCACGCGTTGATGGTGACGAAGCAGGTCGACATGGATTGCTTGTCGATGAGCTCGAGGCTGATAGCGGCATACGCCTGTTGCAGAGATTTGAATTCTTCGAAGCTACTACTGCAAGGAACTCCAAACCCTAACGCATTCGCCTTCAATTGGATGATTATGGCGTTGGTTGAGTTAGGGTTTCTTGAAGAGGCTGTTCGGTACTTTTCGTTGTTACAAGAATCGAGGAGCAGCAGCGCGTACCCAAACAGGTACACTTTTTCTGTGATCTTGAAAGCTTGCGTCGGTTTGATGGATTTGGATTTGGGGAGACAAGTTCATGGCCTGATTTACAAAATCGGACTGGAAAAGGTTGCGTTGGTGTGCAATGGGTTGATCGATATGTATAGATTGTGTGGGGAGATATTCTGTGCAGGTAAAGTGTTCGACGAAATGCCTGAACGGGATATTGCTTCATGGACTACGATGATCTGTGGGTATGCTGATTCAGGAAACATCCGAGAGGCTGTTGCCCTGTTTAAAAGAATGAGGTTGGCCGGCGTCGAGCCAAATGAGTTTACGTGGAGCGCGATCATCGCCGGTCACTCGAGGATCGGGGATTGTGATGGTGCATTCACTTTGTTTTCTCAGATGGACAAAGATGGATTAGTCCCTGATTTGGTTACATGGAATGCAATGCTTTCTGGTTTTGTGCAAAACCAGAGGGGTGTTGAAGCTTTAGAATTGTTTCGACGTATGTTAATGTCCGGGATCAAGCCTAATCAAGTGACCGTTACAGTGGTGCTCCCGGCGTGCAATATGGCTGGTGCGATTGTTCGCGGGAGAGAAATCCATGGAGCGATTTACAGAACGGGTCTCGAAATCAATGCCTTTGTTGTCACTGCACTTGTTGACATGTACTCGAAAAGTGGGAGGGTAAAAGATGCATCGACAGTTTTCAGCTCCATTTGTGATAAGAATGCAGCATCTTGGAATGCTATGATCGGATGCTATGGAAGGCACGGGATGGTAGATTGCGCATTCGAGCTTTTCGAGAGGATGCTGAGTGAAGGACTACAGCCGAATGAAGTTACACTAACTTCTGTTCTGTACGCTTTTAGCCATGGCGGTCTAGTGCAGAAGGGCCTCGAAATATTTAGGTCTATGGATTTGTTTGGGGTCGAACCAAGTAAAGAACATTACTCTTGTTTGATTGATCTTCTGTGCCGGGTTGGGAAACTGGACGAGGCATACGATTACATTAAGGAGATTGGTGTGAAAGCCACAGATTCGATCATCGGAGCCTTCCTCAATGGCTGCAAGATCCATGAAAGGCATGATCTTGCTGAAAAGATCTCTGAACATTACAAGATGGAACCGAAGACGCCTGGGGATTTTGTGACACTCTCAAACATATATGCCTCCGAGGGCAAGTGGGGAGACGTTCGCGATGTAAGGGAAGCCATGAAGGACAAGAAAGTTCGGAAAAACCCGGGTTTTAGCTCATTCAACTCAGAATTGTAACTTGCCATCACATATCAATGAAAGATTCCAAATGTTTGCAGTAAAAGATGAAACTGGAAGCTATCTTCGACAATGGCGCTGAATTTCTCCTTCGGAGCTTCAATTCGACTCACTGTAGGTACTTAACTCTCTCATTTTTCTTATAACTTTTCTTGATGATGCTTAGCTTTCATGGTAGTCAAATTATCAAATTTAATCTCATTCTTTACCTTCATCCATCACTTTATTTGCCAAAAATTGGAAATATGTTTACAATACTTATACAAACATGAAGCACTAGAATGAGAATCTCCTTGATCATACTTTCATAAATCTTTTTAATGTCATTTCCATTTTTCTGAAAAAAAAAATCTGTTATTGTTAATCTTTAGCAATCAAGTTTGATTGACATTGGGAAAGATTCAATACAACAATATTATTATAATTTCAGTTGCTTCTTGCTGCAGTCTGAAGTTTGTTTCCATTCATGGCCATAATTGCTGAATCTTAAATTTAGGTGTGAGAAACAAATTATAGGTAGATATTATAATTATTGATTAAATTTTGGCCTTTCCTTTTCTTTCACACTTTGCTCTGTTTATTGTTTTCTTTTCTTTTACATTTAATCTATCTATAGTAGCATTTCTTTTAATGGAAATTCATAACAGGTAAGTAACTTTTAAGGGATAGTACACAGATTTTTGTGCTTGAGGAACTCTTAGACTTGACCCTATGATTTCTGTGCATAATAAATAATCAATTGTTTGGTCCAAAAAGGGCATCCTACATTGTGAATTAGAACCATAAAATAATACTAATGATAATAAAATAAAGGAACCGACCAAAAGTCTATAGGTGTGTTATTGTGTTTGGTCTGATTTTAATGTTTTCTTTTATTATTATTTTTTAATTATAAATTCTGGGTACATAATATTCTTTTAATAAACAATCTTGTTTTACCTTCAATACAATTTTTTTATTGCAAATTTTTGTTGCATATCAAATTTATCATATGAGTGTGAGTGATGACACTTTTTCCAGAATGATCTCTCACTTGGTTTCCCACTTTTAGGACACCCACACCCATTCTCTCACTCCTTTTTTCTTTTTTTTTTTTTCTCTCTCCTCAGTTTGTAAAACTCTGTTCTTTTTCAGCATAAATATTTGTTTGGGTTGGATCAGAACTCCATAAATGCTGTCATTATCAATGTTTCTAATATGTGGCAACTTTCACATATGTTCACTTTGTTTCCATCTCTGTTGGATTGTATTTTGAATATGATTGAATAATTTGAATTTATATTGTTTAATAGATTGATAATAATTTTACTATAAATTGATTCGAAAACATGTGTAAATACACAACACACACACCATATTTATTTCAATGCAATTATTTGAATTTAGCTACAGAGAAAGGCACACATCCCTTTCCTTCCCAGTCGAAAACCGAAGAATGTTCAAAACTCCCGACCACGTCGGGGCTGCCCAATTGCCACAACATCTCACACTGAAAAAAAAAAAAAAAAAAAAAACAAAAAAGAAAAAAAGAAAAACAAACAAACAATCTGTGGTTGTCTTTTGCTGGAATTTTGGTTTTGCAGCGAAGATTGGATCCTGCTCGAATGTTGAACCAAGTTAGGGTGAGATGGAGATCAAAGATTGCCTTGAAGCTCCTTAAATTAATTTCAGCGGTCCGGTTGCTCATCATCATCAATGTGGCTTCCATAATTGAAGCCTGCTACACTCTCATGAACTCTTTTAATGACTGTCTGATCTACCACATGACATCTTCGAGTCGAATTGGATTGGATCGGATGAGCTCATAAAGGTAAGAGACTTTTTATGGGGTAACATTACATGTGATTGATTAGTGTTAGCTAACATCTACCTTTTTAAATGCTGTGGTTGGTTCCATTGATCATTTCTTGACAAAAGAGTGCAAAGTGTTCCTCCCTCCTTTGTGTTTCTATAATTTTGTGAAAGGTTAAGTCTTGGGTATATTTAGATGCCGTTTTGAATAGCTTTTGGGCAGTGTATTGTTTTACTATAGCAAGGGAAATACTTGGAAACTTCTGCTCCATTGACCAAAAATGAAGAAAATATAAATCTATAGTTAAATCTAATAGCTTGCAAGTAAATTGTATTAGAGGGATTGTTGTAGTTACGAGTTTATTCTTTACTATTTATACCATTAATTTTTATATAAAATTATAAAGATCGAATAATAAAATATTACTATAATAAACGTGTAGCTGATAAGATTTGAAGATGTTTGAAATCTAAATATCAGAATCTACTGTCACAAAGTTAATCTCACACCATTAGTCATTCTTACTTAACAATACAAGCCTTTAAAGTTTAAAGGTGTGTTTGTCTGTGAGTTTTAGTTTTTGGGTGTGAATTTTTTAATAATAAAAAGTTGAACTGGAATAATTATTTAATGTGATATAAATAAAGGTTGATATGATGTTTTGAATGTAAAATAAATTTATAGTATAATATAAAAAAAAAAAATTATTGTTTGATGTGATATTTTTTTTTTTAGAAAAAATTAATAATAAAAATATATAGTAAAATGTACAAAATAACTCAACCTAGATGTTTACTATGGATGGGGCAGATAGAGTGAGAGTCAGAGAGAGTAAAAAATAGAGCTGTAATTCAATTTTGTCCCACACTAGAACAACACAACACGGACTTACACACTTGTTATCGTAGATTTAGACCCCACTTTAATTTGTTGATGCTGCAGCTGCACTCCTCTCTGTCTCTCTCTATCTCTTCTCTTTCTCTCTCTCCACCACCAGCAGCTGCAGCACAATCTGCAAAGCCATTCAACAAATATCTATCTATTAATCTCCTCCTCCACGCTTTGTGTGTGTCTCGCTCTCTCAAGAACTGTCAATCTGTTGTTGCTGGTGTGTTCTTCCTGTTTCGATTTTCTTGATCTGTAAAGATCGGAGTTTTATTGACTCTTCTTGGAAGTGGAAGTGGAAGTGGAAGTAGCGTCGTCGTCTCCACAGTTCCAAATCTTCCTCTCTGGTCTGGTGGATAATTTCTTCTCTTCTATTTGGGCAATCGAAGATTCACTCATTTGGAGCATTGGTTTGGCAGATTGGGATGGAATGATTTTGTCGACACTTCCCTTGCTAGTAAGTGATGATATTGATATTGATATTTGATTCATTATAAACTGTAATTCTCTCTCTCTCTACTATGTCTGTCTGTATCCATGGATCTGATCTGCCCTTGGATTTGAGTTGATTTGATTTGCTTGATTCGTTTAGTCATCGCCATATTTAGAGATTCATTTGTTCTGTTTTGTTCTGCTCTGCATGTTGATGTGTTGATGTCTTCCCTTTACTTTAAGTTCAAATTTCTCTTTAAACTTCCATTTCTTGACTCGAATCAGATGGGATGTTGGTAGTCATTCTCAAGTTTGGAATCAGATTAGTAACCAGGGAGTATATTCTTTTGTTTCTTTCTTGCATTTTGAAGCTGATCTCCTATTGCCATGGCTTTTAGATCTCTGAGATATATATGAGAATTGTGATTTATATGTATGCTGAGAAAAGATTCTTCTTGTGCCGTACACTCGTGAGTATCTGGTTGTGTTTTTGGTTTTGGGGTTTCGATTGACCATTGATTTAAATGTAGTAATGTTCAGTTATTTTGCGAAAATTACTATAACTATTTTGGGTTCTACAAAGAAAAGAACTGTATTTTGTTATGCTTTGATGATTTGTTTTCCCTTGAGTTCTATAGGATAATATTTATCCTATGTAGTTGATGAGGTTCGAATTCGACAAAGTCTAGTTGATGTAAGTTTGCCATGGTAGTTGAGATTCATCGAAGTTCTTTTGAGATATGGAATTAGCTCATAGGTTTGTTTCATTGTTACTATCGATCTAACAACGATTTCTTCTATTCGAGTATGGCTGCTGGTTGTTCTTGCTTTCGGTTTTGTAATCTTCTCATGATTGAAGCTATCTGTCTTGTGTTATTCGGCGATTCGCCTGTTTTCATGCCTGTGTTATGTACATTTGTTTGAGCAGCAGATTTTACGTTGTTTCTTTCGCAGGAATTCGAATAAGGTTTGCGATAATATCAGGCGTTGGACAATGGGGAGGGGTCGAGCGAAAGGAAAGAAGCACAATGTGGCTAGTCAAGACGATCCTGGGAGCGGCGAGGAAGAAAAGATTCCGGCGCAGAAGAGACGAGGGAGGCCGCAGAAGCCACTCAAAGACGATGTCGATGAAGAAGACTTCGAAGTGCAGAAGATAGAAGACGACGGGAGCGAGGAAGACACGACGGGAACACCAAACAAAGACGCGAATGGGAAGAAACGAAAAAGGAATTCTCCCGGGGCGGAGAAAGTCGAGGAGGCGAAAAAAGAGGAAAATGTCGATGTCACAAAATCGAGCGTCGAGGACGAGTCGAATGTTTGCCGCAGCATTCGTCCGAATAGGAACAGGCGAAAGAACACGCCTCGTCGCGCAGCCGAGGCCGTCGTGGAATGCAGCTGAGAGAGGCACACCCTTCTCCTCTTGTTCTCGCATTGTCGTCGTTAATTTTTCTTACATTATCATGGCATGTTTTCGACGCTTAATTTTATTCCGGCGATGAGATTATCGAGTTTGTTATATCGTTAATCGCTAACCATCGAATGATCAGAAAAAAAGCCGCGACAGGCCATTTATTCTTTCGCAAAAATCATGATGTTTGAAGGCATTCGTCGGATACAAAGGCTCGAGACACCGATCGCTAAATCGAAATGCTGTTAGGGATGCCTTTCCCCGTCACGCCGGGCTCAGAAAATGGTTTCAGAAGCTGGTACGGGACGACTCCCGCCCCCGTCCTGTTCAATAGACTCGGGTCTGCGTTCCGAGCATCGATGATTCCTTCGATCTCCTTCAGCCTGCCGCTGAATCTCTCAAACGCAGCGTTGATGATCTTATCGTGCGCAAAGTACGGCTCGATCTGCTCTCCGATATACTCCTCGTCGGGTGAGTGCGTCGACAGAATATCTAAAACGGCCATAACCAGCGTCGCCTGAAGCTGCGACGGGAAACACTCGAGCAGGAATTCCTCTGGCCGTTCCATGAAACTTTCGCGCTCTTGCTCCTTGGGGTCCTCGGTTGGCATCGGCTTCCGAGCGATGGTAGGCCGGTTCGGGAAGTATCCGGCGAAGTCGAACTGGCCGAAATTCACTGCAGCGTGGTGGCCAGAAGTTATCCATATGATAATCGTCAAGATTCCGATCAAGTCTTCCGGCGAGTTCAGCTCCGGCCACCATTTCTCGTCCTTCTTATCGGCGTGGCCGACAGTTCGGATTTCGTCCCACCACGCTTGGAGCTCGGTATCCGATTTCACGATGCTGTCATCCTCATAGTAGTACTCGACGTAGTCCGAGACCCATTGTTTGATCGCGTCCCAGATGAGTAACCCGTCATTGGCGTAAGGGTAGTCGGGGATCGTCATCTTCAGGCCATGCGGCTCGTTCGGATCCTCGACAGCCAGTCCCCTGAAATCGATCCAAACCCAACGCGATTCATACTCCCGCTGGATATCGAAGATCTTCGGTAACAGAGTGTATGGAAAATTTACCTGCTGATCAAATCTGCCGGGAGCGCCTGCTCGTCGAATCGCCAGAGTTTGTCGTAAACGACAGAACTCAGCTCGATCGCGTACTTGAGCGGGGAGAACGTAGTCTCGATGATCCCGCCTCCGTTGATAAGGGCGCTTCGAGCTAATCCGTTGATTTCCATCGTGTACCGGAAGTGAGGATGCAAGATTCGGTAAATCGGGTGCATTGCGCTCAGCTGCCGATTCGTCGCGATGATGTAAGGCTCCGTGCAACAATGCGTCCGCAGCCTGAGTCGAGCAAAGATTAGTTTTTTTTTCGGAAGCTGCAACGGTTCGAGTGTTTGAGAAAATAAAATTACGGCGTTACCAGTGGCTGACTAATTGATGATAACCGGTGTCGTGCGCGAGGACGTGGGCTTTCGCGAGCCTCCATAGCCAAACTCCGGTGGCATCCCAGCTTTCGGCGTATACTTGCTTCCACTGGGGCTTCCCGTCCATCGGTGGTCGAACAAGCTCGATGGCGAGAGGCCTTAATGTGCCTTTGGGAGTCAAGAAAAACAGCGTTCGGGATCCATAAAATGTTGTCCCTTCTTGCTCTCGAACCTTGCTCACGAATGGTAAAAATGCGTCGTGATAATCCAGCATGAAGAGCTTCTTCTGCTTCACCGCCTGCGTTCGATTAAAAGATTTAGATGATACGAAAGGAACGAGATGTTTGCTAATGAAGATTAATCCGTGAGTTCTCGATGTTCTTGCCTCCTCGACTGACATTACGCCTCCGATTTCTTCGTATATAATCTCCGTCGTGATTGCTGATTCCGGAGGCCCGTATATCTCCGGGTCAAGCGCGCTCTTCAACGGCCATTCCTGTAATCGGACAAAAAAGACTCTACTCTCAGCAATTCTCTATGAATTCGAACTGTACATTTACCGACGATTTTGAACGAACTTTCCAAAGCATCAAATCAAATACAAGAGGTCAAAACTCGCTGAAATCGCGACATGATTCGAAGGAAACGAACGCAATCGAAATCGAAGACATACCGTAACCAGTTTAATACAGCATGGATTGAGACCTGCTAGAGTTTGTCTTCCAAATTCAGAATCCCTAAGCCACGAAAACTTATCTCCTGCAATGAATTCGAAGAATAAAAACCAGCAAAGAACTAACTAAACATCACATCAATGGCGGAGAGATCGTGAAATTACTGTCGATCAGTTCAGGAGTTTCGAACTGCAGGACGTTATTCCGCAAGTCGGAGACTGCTCTCACCACTCTAGGTATGATATTCCCCAAAAATCCAGTCGTCGGAATATCCGGAAGCAGAACTCCTTCGTTGAACAGAGAATCGATAGCCGTGAAATGCGGAAATCCTTGGTCTGTATCCACGACCGATGACTTCAGCGAAGGGAACAATCCATGGAGCACAGAGTACACCGTCTTCGCCGAGAAGGTAACCTGCTTTACCTCCGAGAACGCCTCATCTCTCGGAACGTACACATCGTTGGCTCGCGATTCCGACAATGGATCTGCAATTTCAAATCGATGGAATCCAATTTACGCAATTCAATTCAGGAATTTTCGATGCAAAATCGAAAGCACTTCACGAATCGTAACCAACATTGAAACACTATTCAAAGTCTAAGCTAGGCATTTTGATAAACACATGGTGTGCATCATCTTCTCCGATCGGTTAGGAGGAAAGGAACTCACCTGCCTTAGTCATCGGACGGCCAGTCCTGCACCGGCGAGGGTAGGGGCGCTCGGGACCGCCGAGAACGGGGCGCGCCAATTTCTCACCGTTGTCAGGATCGTCAGGATTGCCGAGATCGTTGTATACATCGTAATCGTAAATCCGGTCGCTCGTCTGGCGCTCCCCGGTGCCGTCGCCTCGGAGAATCTCGAGCTCCCTCTCTCTGAACCGCCGGAGTCCCTCCGGCGTTTGGGATGGAACGTATGACTGTACGCCGCCATAGAAATGTGAAAAACTACACTTTAGTCCCATAATTTATATAAATTACGTATTAATGAAGTTTTATCAAGGATGTATTTTTGATCGTAGTAAAATTTTGAACTAAAATATTTTTTTAATCTTATAATTAAGTATTCATTTTTTTTTTCACATAATTTTAAAAATATTAGTATTATATTAGGATATAGTAGGAATAAAGTAAAAATAACTAAAATAATTTTATCAGTATTGTGTGCTATAAATGTAATGGTATCTGTGTAATATATTGTAAGTTGTAAGTGTATTTGTAATGTTAGGCAGATAGTACCGTTACTGAAATACATATTTTGTTATGAAACAGACTAAATAGAAAAATGGACAGTAGGACAGAGGGAGTAGTAAAATTTTGAATTTAAATAGTTGTTTGATGTAATATAAATATGTAGTGATATAATATTTTGAATGTAAAATTTAATTTTAATGTAATATAATAAAAATAAATAAATGTTTGATTTGATATTTTTTTAAAAAAATAAAATTAAAATACTAAAACTGAAAATCAAATCTCACAAGTAAACACACCCAAATAGTCTCTCCCTTCCAATTCCCTTCCAATTTGAAAATAGCTAATTTCATTTGGGCACTAGATAAATGAGTTTTGAGTGGATCCAATAAATAAAAGATTAATTACTACTAATAATTAGTTTATTACCATGGTAAAATAGCAATACAAATTGTTTGAGCAGTTGATATAAATTAAATTTAATATATTTTATAAAAAATTTATTATGAATAAATAAATAGTATTAAAATTTTAAGGGTGTGTTTGTTTGGGGAATTAGAATTTAAATACACTGTTCATTTCAATTTTTTTCTCTAAAACATCAATCAAACACTTATTTTTTATTTTTATATTATACTAAAAATAAAATTTTATATTTAAAACATTACATTAACACTTATTTATATCAGATCATTCCACTATTTAAATTCAAATTTTTTACTCACTCATAAAAATAAGATACATCAACTGCAAAAACATTTATGACAAACAAATAATTTATTCTAATCACCATAGAGTGTTTTAAACTTGAGATTATTATAGTATAAATATATTTGTGAAATTTCTAGCTAAACCTTTTATTAATAAGAAATAAAATAAATAATGCTTATTGTTTATTTCTCAAAATTTTTAAAGAAATTTGTGAAAATTCTAATACAAGTTTATATAAATAAAAATAAAAGTAAAAAATAACACCATTTTCATACAAATACTTTTGTACTGCATAAAAATAAATATTATTAAAATCTTAATATAATCATATACTCCCTATGTTACATAACTATAGCCTGGGTTGTGTTTGACACGAAATTTAAAGAACATTGATAGTTGGTAAAAAATATGGGTAAATAACTTTTTTGCCATTATGAGTGTATTAGTATAAAAAGTAGTGACAATTGGATTTTGAGTTGAGATTTAAATAGTAAAAATTTTGATTTTGAATAGTTGTATAAAGTGATATAAATAGGTGTTAGATACGATGTTTTGAATGTAAAATTGATTTTTAGTATAACATAAAAAAAAAATAAGTGTTTGATTTGATATTTTTTTGGGGGGAAATGGAATGAATAGTAAATTTAAAATCCAATCCTCCAAACATATAATATTGTCTATAATTTAATAAAATATAAAATTGAGTAACATTGAATTTGTTTATTTTGTATTTTTTAATGGATATGTTTCTTATATTATTGAAAGTAATATTGATAATATTAAAAAAAATAATATTTTGTATTGAAATGTTTATTTATATTGTGAGTGGGTATGTATTAGTATACGTATATTGTCTTTTTTTAATAATATTTATAAAAAATTATTTTACCTAAAAATTATAAGTGAACAAATTGATAGTTTATTCTAAAAAAATAATCTATTAAACAAAAATAAATGAATGGAAGTGCTTGTGGTTGGGAAAACATGTAGATAAGTAAATAGATAGGTAGCCAATAAAATCGACAATAAAACATGTCCATAAGGGAGAGGGGCCAAAATGGATTTGAGGACCATTACTTCACATGTTCATTGTATTAATATTAAAAATATTTTTATATTTGTATAATTTTTTGCACAAATATTTTTATAGTAATATTATAAGACACTAATAGAAGTATTTTTGTCATTTTCCCTGAATTTGTACTACGTTTTCATATAATAATTAATATTCAAATATCAACATACAAAAAGTAAATAAGACCCTTAGAGCCGGACGGAGGTAGTATATAATAAGAAAAAAAAAACAAAAGATAATGATAATTGAGCGAAAAAATTAAACTAATTCTCGGTACCTTGTTGCAAAAGAAGACTCTATCTTCAGGATTTTCGGATTTTGGATGAATCCACGACTCGCAGCTAATATCGATTTTGCCTCCCACGTACGATCCTTCAAGAAATACGTTCCTTAAGAACATCTCCCTATGGTGTTCGTTCTCCACCATGATCGCCCCGATCTCGCCAAAGTGTGAGGGCACCTTGAAATCGACCTCGTAGTATACTTTGCCATCATCCTCATCTTTTTTGCGGGCGTACCCTTTGATCGTTTCTTTTTCCTTTCCGGTTTCTGTTTATTGCGCCCACAAATACAATTCACAATTACAATCCACAATTATAATGTATAGAGTATGTAAAGTGAATATCAAGATTTGAAATAAATTTAGGGCTTCTTTATTTATATTATCTTCGTTCATAAGATATATTTATATTTATTTTTTACACATAATTAGAAAATGATAGTATTTAGATAGTAGTTAGTAGTACTTCTATATATATATTGTCCTTATGTTTAAATTTGATATAGTGGTATTGATGTAAATAAATTTAGATCGAAGGATATTTATAATATATAATGTGGTCAAACTTATTAAGAAAATATATTTTTTGAACAAACAAAAATGAAATATATAAATCTTGTTAGTGGACAAAGGAAGTATTTTATTTTTTTTATCCAAATATTTTCTATGTATTTTTTTCTACTCAATACTTTATTTTTAATTCAAATATAAATTATTTTAACTACAAATTAATTCTGAGAAAAGTTTAAAAGGAACAAATTTTTAAATAATATATTTTAAAATGTTAATATTAATATATATATATATGAATCAATTGATTTTTGTATAATATATTTGTACATAAAAATAATATCATAATTTTTAATTATTTGTGTTTGGTTATACTTTCAGTTTTGATGTACTCTGTATTTTATCATAAAATATTATTTTTACAATAATTATATTTAAGATATTTTTTTTTAGTTATATTTGTTCCTTTAATGTCTAGTTTTGATCGAGTATTCTCTTCGTCCATCAAAAGTGTGCTCAAAATTTTTGGACGTAAAAATTAAAAATAATAGTATTTTAATGTTATTTTTTGTTTTTATTGAGAAAAAAGTAAGGGTATAATTGGAATTTTTGTGAATTGATAAAGATATAAATCATATAATAGAAATTGAGTGTAAAAAATGTAATGATATAAATGTAAATTAATGTGAAAATAATAGATAAGGAAGATGAATAGAGTATTTTTTTACTAAAAATTATATATCACACCTTTCGTGTACATATTAAAATAGTAAAATAAACACAGTTTTGATAGACATAGAGAATATTATTTACCAAGATTTTTTTTATACACTCAAAATTATCAAAATCAGTTACTTATTTATATTATAATAAATATATTATTTTAATTAATTAAAAATTTTATTGTTCCCAAATTTAAACCTCAAATAAACTTTAAAAAAACACATCGCAAGTTTGTTTAGTAATTTTCTTTTTATTATTATTTTCTTTAAAATGTTACAATTTTTTTTTTTTAAAAAAAAACATCACAATTAATGTGTTCATTTATTGTTTTTAGGTTTTTTTTTTTTTTAATTTAGCTATTTTCTAATGTTTCTTTAAAATATTCATATATAATTTTTATCTTTCATACAAATATTATAAAATATATATATATTTTTTTTATCAAAATATATTAAAATAGGAAATACAAAACAATAACACATATGAACACCAAAATGTCTAGCAATAAAACATAAAATAATCCTGTAAATATCATATATTACATTTATTATAAAATCTTCATACCATTTGAAATAAATCTTATCCTATCTTTAAAATTATAGCATTGCCCATGCTATACTATCTTTCCAGATTCTAGCAAGGATTCATTTTATTTGCATTTATATATTGTACTATTAATATGTGTATATTATATTTTTAATAATATTTATAAAAAAATTGTTCCACTTTTTTTTTTTTTTTTTGGGGGGGGGGGGTGTTGGATTTTTTTATGAATTTAAATAGTAAAAATTTTGAATTTGAATAATTGTATGATACGATGTAATAGGTGTTTATGTTATGTTTTTAATATAAAATTGATTTGTATAATATAAAATATAAAAAATAAGTATTTGATTTAATATTTTTTAGAAAAAAAATAGTGAATAATATAAATTTGCAAAAATCTCTTAAAAGAATACAAAAAAGACTGAGTGAACAAACTCTAAAGTCCAAACTCTAAAGTTAATGTTATGTTGATATACATACTCTTAAAAATTTTAATGCTAGTTATGTTTTAAATAAATATTACTACTATTAAATTAATTTTTTTTATTTAAAATATAATATCAGCATATATTTTCTACATAAAAATATTATATTCAACACTTATTTACATTAATTTAATTACATATATGTTCACAATTCTCAAAATTTTCCAAAATCTCCAAATATTTTTCTTTTTAAGCAAAAAAATATAATATATTTGATGTTAACAATGCGTAGTAGGTAAAACCTGAAGAAAGTGTCGGAATTTAAATACATGACCTCACAGAATAAGATATTTATAAGAATTAGATTAATTATTGTAACAATAGTTGCATACCTTATTTTGTCTTGAAAATAACTTTCGAATATGATATTTTATCTAGGAAAAAAAAAATGAAATGCAAAAGAATACAATAAAATTTTTGTTTTTTTTCTTGAACAAATATCAATTTCAATCTCAATTTTATATAAAACGTTAAGAACGACACTATGTTTATTTCAAGTTTTTTTTAGTTTGAATTTTGTATTTTTAATACGAATTATGGTGAAATCGTATTGCTAACATATCAAATATTATTTTTTATGAGAAGATAGAATATATATATATACCGGTAATCGTGTTGATAAATATGTGTTAGCCGAACAAACCAAAATTTTATTTAAGAAAGAACATTTTTTTAGCTGCATATATACATGAAGTTAATATTTATTATTTAATTTAAAGAATAGTTAAAAAATGCTGAGATATCTCTAAGATGTGCTTTCGTCTTATATTATTAATGAAATATAAGCTGTGTTATCTTATCTTTTTAATTATTTTTCACTATTTTATTTTATTTATAACATTAGATCATACATCAATTTCTAAACAAAATATTATATTAAATACCTAACTACTTTCACCTAAGCAACAAAAAATAATAATATAAAATAAATACAAATAAACACTTCTTCAAAGTATATATATATATATATATATTCAAAATACATAAAATTTCAGAAACAAAACCAAAATTTTACCAAACTTATCAAAAGAATATGCATTCCTATATATCTATATGGGATTCAATCGAACACATCATAAAATAGAGTACTACAAATTGTAACATTTTTTTTAAAAGAATTGATTTAGAATGTAATGTTAATTTTAAATTTTTATATAAATAATATTTTAATATGATATTTTTGTACATAACAGTACTGTATTTTTACTAAAAACTGCGTAGCTAAATAGTGTTGATTTGGATTTAAAATGATAAAAGAACAAACTCTTATAAAATTACCGAGCTAATAGTTTTTCGACGGTGCTCACAACATATAAACTATAAGACGGAGATTAAGGCGGTGACCAAGTCAAATAACATATTTGACCCGTCAACATAGACGGTGCATGTTTATATAGTACAATACTCATTTCGTCCTACATAATTTGTCCATATTTTTTATTTTCATCAATTCCACATAATTTATCCTTTCTTTTTTTGAAAATATAATTATATAATTATACACTTTAATTATATTTTATATTTTATAATTTTTTTCATCTAAATTAAAGTATTTAGTTATGTTAATCTTAATTTATAATTATTTTTACTATACAATAGTTATTTTTACTAATACACTTCTTAATTACTTATTAATCATACTTTACCTAAATTCTCGTGTCTACAGTAACACGCCCAAATTACCTACCTAGGACAGAGGAAGTATAATATTGTGTTGTATGGTAATTTATATATTGTACTATATTTTATAAATATGTTTATTGTAATGGAATCAATAATATATTATGCTGTATAGAAATATATTATACGTTGTCAAAATATGAATTGTATATTGTATTATTGTCTATCCACTATGCATTGTGACGGGTTTGTTTGTTTAGTATTTTTATTTGAATTTTTTTTTTTTGTGTCAAAAAAATTTGGACAAGCAAACACAATATATTTCTATATAATATACTCTCTCCTTCTCATATCTATCATCAATTAGTTTTTTTTATTTATAAAACTTAGTATTATATTGAGTTGTAATATAAATAAATGTAAAAATACTAAATTAACTTTATTAATATTATATGATATAAATGTACCTAATATTAGATAAATAGTTGAACCAAAATTAAAAAAAAAAAAGAATAGTTTATTAAGGTACGGACAAAATATCAATTAAACCGTGTGGATCCAAGCCTAGCCCCCTCTAATACATAAGGTGTATATATGTATTTGGATTAGATTTTTACTATTCTATCGTATTTTTTTCCTCGAAAATATCAAATCAAACACCGATTTTTTATTTTTTATATTATACTAAAAATCAATTTTACATTCAAAACATCACATCAACACCTATTTATATCACCATCATACAACTATTCAAATTCAAAATTTTTACTATTTTAATCTCAACTCAAAATCCAATCCCCCAAACAAACACAGTAATATATAAATACATATAATATATATGTATATATATATTTTTAAACATATGGGTATGTTCGAGTTTATCCAAATTTTATTATTTGGACTCTCTATTTTTTCAGGAATTTTTTTTTTTTTTTTCACAAAATATTCCTTCAAACATTATTTTCATACCAAATTCAAATAATTTTTTTTTCAAACTCATCGAAAAAACACACCCATATTTTAAATTATTTACTAATAATATACTCCTTTTATCATCAAATTGTGTGCTCAATTGATAGGGCACGAGTTTTAAAAAAAATATGTAAAAATAAAAATTTCTATATTTTTTTTGTTTTTAAAAAAAAAAAAGTGATATTTTTTTACTTAAAAAAAAAGAAACAAAAAATGATAATAGATTTGAATGAGGATAGAGTATATTTTAAATTCTAGTGTCTATTAAATAAAAATAAAAACACACACAATTGTTTGCAATCGTAAAAACTCAACCAAACACACCCCAGAATTTTCCCTCGTACTGAGAGAGCAGCCAATATTATTAACCACACGTTCAATTTCTACGGTTATCAGCTCGATCAAAACTGCTGCAGAATTTCCGTACTGGAAACATCTCCAAATCTAAAAACCTAAATCAAATAGGAATTACTATTTTTCCTGCAGTTCTATTGAATTCATGATTGCGTTAGGTTTTCCATTGATCTCTTCCCTCGCAGTATATTCCCCCAATTAATCAATCAATTAATTATCCACAGACTTACTCGGATCCAGATCGGCGGCGACGAGCTGGACGTGGAGCGTCCGCCCGAGCAGGTCGGTGATGTCGTCGAGGCCTCTGCTCAAGCCGAGGTGACTCAGCGCGCCTCCGACGGTCGGAAGCACGATTAACTGCGCTTTCACCTCTGTCGTTTTCTCAGAGCTCACGATAGCTTTTACCGCCGTGGAGGAGGAGGAGGAGCGGCGCCGCCGAAGCACGGGGAAGTTCCTCGGCTTTCTTAAGGAGAGCGGATTTCTCCGGTGAGGAATCGGAAACGGAGAACAAGCGGCGGCATTGCCTCCGACGGCGAGGGCGGGCTTTTGGGAGAGAATTAGGGTTTGGTGAGCGGAGGAAGAGGAATGAATGAGATTGTGCTTCAGCATTTTATACGGCGGCTCAATGAAGAAGAAGATGTTTAATTTTATCGATGTGGGATTTGGGGTGAGGCTGAAGCAGCTTTATATAGAACTTGAAATATATCGCTCTATAGAAATATTCTTATTAGAAAATCCCGTTGAAAAAGGAAAACGTGTTATCTGATGGAAAATTATAATTTTTTTATTTTTAATTTGATAAATTATAGTACTCTCTCCGTCCCAAACACCGTACAATATATATATATATATTTTTCTCAAACTCACTGCAAAATTTTTAAATATAAAAATAATTAATAATATTTTTATACATATATTAATACGCACTTCACTTTATCTTATCACATCACTCAAATAAAAAAAACAAATAATCATTTTTCTCTCTAATTACGTCACTTAATATCCAAATTATCTTAAATTATCATATTTAATACTACTCTCCACCTAAATTCTCGTGCTAAATATAAATATTGCACGACGTTTGGGACGGAATGAGTAGTAAATTTTAAATATATATATATAAAAAAAAAAAATGTATGTTGAATTGAATAAAGACGATTAAATGATTTGGGTAGGCGACTACTTGGTAGTAACGTGTGTATGGTCTCCTATCACTAGGCTCACCAACCAGCCGCCCCGGACCTAAGAAGAGCAATTAGCCTTATGATCATATATCTACAGTTGTATGTATGTATGTGTATGATGATGTAGCGTAACGAAGTACCGCTTAGTTGAATGTATTTTGCCTAATGTCTGTTTTGGCTGATGGATTTAGATTTGATGGATCTAGTAATTTTTTTTATTTTGCCTAATGTCGGTTTTTAGCCTATTGAATAGTTTTTTTTGCCGTCTGACAAGTAATTTAGTATTCCGTAAATTAGTATTTTTAATTAGTTTATTGAATTTAAAAAATTAATTTTGAAAAAATTGTATATTTCAGCGTTTCATATTAGATTTTTTATTATAATTTTTTCTATTCGCTTTTAAAATTAATTAATTCTTTCAAGTATATTAATATATATTTTTATTACACTATTTATTAATTATTTGGATTTTTTTTCTTCTAATAATTATAAATTCATATTTATAAATTTAAAATAATTGTTTTTTATATGTAAATTATCTTATTTATAATTTTTTTTTTTTAAAAAAAAATTAGAATAAAGATAATATAAAATATTAATATTATTGATTCATTTATATAGTATTTTTTATCACATAATATTTTTATAAAAATAAATATATTTATTTAAAATTATAAATTTAATGTAAATATATATTAATTAAAAATTAATCTAATAAAAATATATATAGTAATGATTTTTGTTCTTTTATATTTATATTATATTATTTCTAATGAAAAATATATATACTTTTCAATAATGTTGCATTAATTCTTTACAAAATATTTTAAAAATAATAAAAATAAATATCTTAATAAATTTTTCTAATTTTTAAAATTAATAATAAAATTCTATAAAAGTCTACCCATCGAAAAAACTCAACTAAATATATTGAAAATAATATATAAAATGTCCTTAATTGTTATTTTACGTATAAACAGCTAATATCAACAACTATTTTTACCAAACACTTCAATACAATCAGCTAATCGAATCAGTTAGTCAAACCAGCTAATTAAATCAACTAACAACTAATCAAATCAGCTAACAACTATCAGCTAATTGTCTAACACACTCCTAGTATTCGGTTGGCTTCCCGGCCAAAATTGACATTATGCTTCCATTTTAAAAATATATATATATATATTACCCACTCAAAATATTTTTAAAATTTTTATTTCTATATATCTTTGAAAAAACAAATATATTTATATACATTCAAAACTTCTCATTTATTTATAAATTAATTTATATTAACTATAAATAAATATTTATATATTTTTGTTTATTTGTATTATATAAAATTTTATTTTTTATAAAATGATGTTCATATTTTTTTATTTATTAAAAAATAACTAAACACATATTTTTAATTTTTTTAACCTTATATATTTTACGTCATAAATCAAATATTAATTAAATAAATCACTCTCAACCTAACTTCTAATTCAATAGTTCAACCGGTAATCAAACGCACCCTATATTTGATTATAGTTTTGATTTGAATTAATAAAAAAATGTATTTTAAAAATGTGAGATTTGAAATACTCTCTTCGTCCCATAAGTAAATATTCATTTGCCTTTTGCAAGTAATTTAGAAATATTTGTATTATATTAGGATATGGTATGAATTAAGTAGAAATGACTAAAATAACCTTATTAGTATGTGTGATATAAAGGTAATGACATTTGTGTAATATATTGTAAGTTGCAAGGGTATTTGTAATGTTAGGTAGATAATACAGTTACTAAAAAAAGAAATAGATATTTTGTTATGGGACGAACTAAAATGGAAAAATAAATACTTTATTATGAGACGGATGGAGTATATAATTGACTTCATAGGTTTTAAATTCATTATATTTTGTATTCTTTTTATGGATATATGAATGAGAAAGACGAAAAAAAATTGAAATGTATTTTTTATGGATAATGACTCTATTTACTCATTGTTTTTAGATGAATTAAAAATATATAATTTTAAATTGAGTATTTAATTTTTTTATAATAAGTATGTAATTTTTTTTATTTTTTACTTTTGTAAAAGATTTTTTTGTTGATTATTACTCCTTTCGTCTTGGCTATCATATCCACTTTATTGTAGATACGGAAATTTAATTACGATGAATATAATTAGTAAATAATTAAGAATATATTAGTAAAAATAATTACCGTATAGTAAAAATATTTATAGATTTTAAAATTTAAAATTTATAAATTAAAAATTTTAAAATAAAATTAAAGTATATAATTCTTTTTCAAAAAAAGAAAGTGATAAAATAAGTGGGACTAACGAAAATGAAAAGATAGACATGATAAATGAGACTAATGGAATATTATTTTTTAAAATCGCAATTGAAAATAGTGTTGGAAGAACAAAGTGAATATTAATGAAAAAACAAAACCAAAAGAAAAAGGAAAAAAAATAAAATGGATATGAATGAATAAAAGTTAGGGTGTGTTTGTTTGGGGGTTTGGATTTTGAGTTCGGAGTTGAATAGTAAAAATTTTGAATTTGAATAGTTGTATGATGTAATATAAATAGGTGTTGATGTGATGTTTTGAATGTAAAATTAATTTTTAGTATAATATAAAAATAAAAAATAGGTGTTTGATTTGATATTTTTTGGGGAAAAAAATTGAATGAATAGTGTAAAACCAATCTAATCCCCCAAACAATTTAATTACTATTAATGCAATTTCAACAATATATGTTTACAACTTTTCGGTTATTTTATTTAATCTTGTATCATTGTTGGATTTTGGATTGAAGTGGTTAATCAATCGTATTATTGTCACCAACAAAGTAAGAAATTTTTTAGTGTTAAGGTCTATAATCAATTTATTCATTGATCAACGAGATTATTTGAATCAATGTTCGATATTTATTTCTTGGACTAGGTATTTAGGATTTGATCATTTAGTATTTTTTGGTGGAATGATTTTTTATAATTATTATTAAAAAATATAATATACAAAAATAACATAATATAAAATATATTTTATCATTTCACAAAAAAATAACAGTTCAATCTAAAATAATTTTTTTTATTACAAATACAATTTTTTATACCTAATATTAAAATTAAAAAAAAAAAGAAAACACACATTTTTATTCAAATACAAAGTGAACAAATTCTGTGTTTCTTTTATAATATGAATTGATATAAAAATTCTATTAAATTCCATATACAAATTTTATTTAGAGAAAATAATTTATAAAAAACTTCAATTTATATTCCTTTTTGTTTTTTCTTTTTCACGGAAACCTCTTAATAACAATTAAAGAATAGTTTGATATATAATATTTTATAAGATAAAATAATAAAGTTTTATAAAAATTATAAAAATGTACAATGAAAAACTGAAAAAAAAAAAAAAAACAAACAAACAAAAGAATATTTTTCTATAAGATTATCCAAGATTTTTTTGCTTACTTTAAAATTTATTTTGACACTTTTTCATTTATAAAAGAATATTTTTCTATAAGAATATATTTGTTAAAATATATTTAGAAGTAAGAGTATTATATTTATGGTAGTTATCTGATTTAAGAAATTTATAGGATTTTTGTCTTATTTAGACGATTTGTATATATTATTATAAATATGTACGTATTCATAGAAATAAAGAATTTCAGTTTCATATTCTAATATGGTATCAGAGCCAAATTCTTTTCAGGTACCTCCATAACCCGTTATATCCCGTATATATTTTTATATGTTATTAATGTATTTGCTTTTATCAACGATAATGTTGTTATTTTTGTGTCGTCTTCATCTCTACTACTCCACTAACATAATCTACTTTCGACTCTAACGTCGTTGAGAGTCCTATTTTCGACTCTAACTCTATTGAGAGTGAGAGAATCTTGTTTTCGATTCTAGCTTTGTTGTGAGCAAGCGAGTATTGTTTCCGTCTCTAGTTTTATAGAGTGAGCGAGTCCTGTTTTCGGCTCGAGTTCCTTTTTAAGCGAACAAATCTTGTTTTCAACTTTAACGGTGTTGAGAGTTTTGCTTCTGACTCTAATCCAATGGACGGCTACACCACTTTCAGTTAATTTTCGCGAATTCAAATTCGTATAAGGAAGATCTCGGCTATATCTTTTTCGATCACTTCTGACAAACTCAAGTTTGTTCGATCATATATTGAATTTGATGAGCGGTGTTAAAATATATTTAGAAACAATATATTATATTTGTGATAGTTATCTTATTTAAGAAATTTATAGAATTTTTGTCTTATTTAGACAATTTGTATATCATTATAAATATGTACTTATTCTTATGATTGAAATAGATAATTTCAATTTTATATTCTAACAATATTTAATTTTCATAACAAAGGGATTTGTTAACCTATTAAGTAATTTTTTTTTTTTTTATTTTATTTTTTATCACGCTTGCCGATTAATATCATAAAAATGGAAAAAATAAATATA